CCTTCAATAAATATTTTCATTTTCTGCTTGACTTGCATACATTATTCAGGGAACAATAAAATATTGCACTTGGGAAGACAGGAGGAGAAAGGGAACCAGAGTGACAGGTTCTTGTAAAATTTGGGAGAGAGAGGCAGTCATGACATATTTGCAGAAGGGTTTGTGAGACATGGATCTGAATAAGTCTGGGAGATAGAGCAGGCCAGCTATCTCTGGTGTCACTTAGGAACTGCCCCAGCTATCTTTACTGTCCCTAACTTGGGGACAACCCAAATCCCTGGTTCAGGATTTTGCTTTTCCACAATTTATCTTAACCTGGATCAGCCCTGCAGGGTTGTTCTAACTTCACACTGACCTAACTGATCAGTGTAGATGTGCCTTCAAAGCCAACCTTTTAATACTCAAAACCCCTTTTTCCTGGAAAGACAAATCAGTTTCTCTTTAACCCACATTTTATTTTTTAAAACATAAAGTAAAATAAATATTCTGTCCCTTTAATCTATCAAGAAATATGTATATTTTTGATCTTTTTTAAAAAAAACTAATGACATTTGGAACTACCTATATCTGAGGGAAGGGACAGAAGAACTGTTGGGGGGGGGGGCAAGAAAATGAAATGTATGAAGAGAGAGAATAGAGTCCTTCCTTCCATCTTCCTAGTCTTTAATTCTACCTTTTGTCTTTTTTATATTGAATTTATACACCACTTAGGGACATTTTCATATGTACGTTGCCAGGATTCCATCCCATTAGAGCAGTGGTTCTCAACCTGGAGTCCCCAGATGTTTTTGGCCTACAACTCCCAGAAATCCTAGCCAGTTTACCAGCTATTAGGATTTCTGGGAGTTGGAGGCTAAAAACATCTGGGGACCCCAGGTTGAGAACCACTGCATTAGAGAATAAAAAAAATCCCTGGATATGTCAATGGAGTTAGAAGCAGGATCGACCCTACATGATAGAATGGAAAACTATTTGAAACAATGGTCAAGATAGTGTTTCTTGAATGTCAGGAAACCCTGACGAGAATCTGGGTTGATGAGAATCTTTCCAATTCAGGAGTAATTGTGGACACAATTTGTATGTATTTCCATGCGGAAAAAGCAGTTTCTGTATACGAAACTCCTTTTCTGCATAGGAAAGAGCATATTCGGCTAAGTTATTCATGCACRGGGATTGTGGCGCAGCTGGCTGAGTGTCGGCTGCATTAAGATCACTCTGACCAAAAGGTCATGAGTTTGAAGCCAGCCTGGGTTGGAGTGGGTTTCCAACCAATTGTATGTAGCCTGTTGTCGACKTTTGCAACCCAAAAGACAGTTGCATCTGTCAAGTAGGAAAATTAGGTACCACCTTAAAGTGTGGGGAGGCTAAATAAACTAATTTATGAGGCCATAAAGAAGACTCCAGCAGAGCATTCCCYCYGGGAAGCATGCYGGGAATGCGGAAGTACTTCATCAGCGTCACAGATGGATGATGAAAGCAACAGCTCCCCTGGCGGCCAGAAAAAGTTAAATAGCCTCTGTGTATGTCTGTATATATTTGTATGTCAAAAATTGGCATTGAATGTTTGCCATAATGTGTACACTGTAATCCGCCCTGAGTCCCCTGCGGGGTGAGAAGGGRGGAATATAAAAGCTGTAAATAAATAAATAAATAAATAATCTGCTCTTTGGTTTTACTATTTTACTATAACTTAGCCTAATCTGCTCTTTGGTTTTACTATTTAATGAATTTTATATATGTTAATGTTTTAACTGTTTTTACATTCTTGTATGCATAAAATTGTGCCGTTCTGTAAACCATCATGAGTTGCCCTCGGGCTGAGAATGGTGGTATAGAAATATAGTAAATAATATAGAAATATAGTAAATTCATAAAATGGCTATTCTGGTTAGTGCTTCTGAGAGTTACTGTTCAATAAAATCTGGGGGGAGCGGGGGTTGACAATATTCCACCCTGTTGTAAAGAGCACACAATTAAGTTCAGTAGGAATTGAGATCATATCTTATTTTGAATTTCATGATACCAACTTTTTTTAAAAAAAGCTCTTTCATTCTGACACCTTTGTAACTACTACATGTATTCAAATTACGTACACATCACTGACTCAAAATGTTTTGCTGTCACCCCTTAATAAGTGTTTAGCTGACATGCTAGAAGAAAATCAAGAACTTGAGAAGGGGGTAACAATTCAGCAGGTTTTCAGAAAATACACTTTAAAGAATGCTATTATCATATGGTTGAACTGAAGTAAGCTGTCTCGGTCTGTAGAGTATACAGGTAGTCTATATGTTTAATAGCCTACTTTCAGTGATAAAACAACTACATACTAGATAATAGTGCGATGGGATGCTTTCAGCTGATCTAGTTTTGGATGATATTTTTTTTGCATTTTTGAAAAAAAGTCTCTGTCTAAATTTTATTTAAAGTGGCTCTATAAAGGCAAAATCCAACATATCCTTGTACCCACCAATTTCTAAAGGTTTGAACATGTTTGCATTTGTGTGAAATTAATACCTACAATTGGTTGCATGAAATATTTCCTTCATAATCGCAAAATGAATATTAACTTGTTTTTGTACCCCTAAGAAGGATGATATTTGCTATGCTATTAACTGGAGATTTCACACCGCAGCAGTTATCCACAAGCCAAACGATTACTCAAATGCACCAATCCTATCACTGTCTATTAGATTCTGCTGTGCATCCAATTTCTTCTGAATGTTGGATGATATATTCCCAATGTACATCTAGTTATTGCTAGACCATTTGCTTAGTAAATACCTATATCTACATCTGGCAGGGAGAGGTAGTAATGTGGTAGCAACTGAGAACTGGAGAAGTTCAGCAACCCTCTGATTCCATGTTCTTTTGTACATTGACCATGAGGATGCCAAACAAATTTCACAAACATGGCAGGAAAGCAATAGCTGTTGTTTCCCACATATGATTTTCAAAAGCAATTTATTGTATATCTGAACATCTTCATCTAGAATTCTTTGCTGGCATATTATTCAGTTTTGAGACACATAGTATTTAGGGTTATAGGAAAGTCTGAGAAGTTAATATTATCATGATGGGTCAGTTTCTCCAACCGCTACTTAGTTAAGCATACTTAAGTCATCTCTGGTGCAGCAGTGGATTTAACCACTGAGGTGCTGAACTTGCTGACCAAAAGGTCAGTTGTTCAAATCCAGGGAGTGGGGTGAGCCCCTGCTGTTAGTCCCAGCTTCTACCAACCTAGCAGTTTGAAAACATGAAGATGTGAGTAGATCAATAGGTACCGCTTCAGCGGGAAGGTAATAGCATTCCATGCAGTCATGCTTGCCACATAACCTAGTAGGTGTCTACGGACAATGCTGGCTCTTCGGTTTAGAAATGCAGATGAGCACCACCCCCAGAGTCAGGCACGACTAGACTTAATGTCAAGGAAGACCTTTATGTTTACCTAAGTCATCTCTAAACCCTCTCTTGCTCCCTGCCCCCTAAAAAACTGACAATGTATTATTCACTTGTGCTTTAATCACGGACAGAATGGGTTTCTTTCTCTGCTTATAGCTGATACCCGAAAAATACCCTATATACTCATGTACACGACATCTTTATGCATAACTCAAGGGCAGGCTTCGGAGCCAAAATTGTGAATTTTATATGACGAATAGAAAAGTCATTTCATGGAGAAGGGAAACCAGTAATACCATCTAGGGGGGGGGGGGCTAGCTACTTTTGACTGTAACAGCCATTTTCTCCATTACAGCATTCAAAACAAGCCAGGGTTAGTGCTATTGTGGAGAGTGTAGATTGAGTTGGTGCTTCTTTTAGGTTCTACCAACATAGACTAAGCTCTCATCTTTCATTACTTTACTTAGAGAATGAGATTATTCACTTTTTGATAGGAGTAAAGGTAAAGTACTCACATTGACCTATGGATAAGGCAACCCAGTTTTTCTGGGTTGCTTTTTTGACTAAAATTTCTAGACTTATGCATAAATATACATATAGTAAATTAGGAGAAGCGAATTATGGTTGCAACATTACTGTCACAATTATCACCAAGTAGTTGTTGATAAAGAACCATTACTTAGATTTATTCATCCAAATACATGGTTGTTACTTGGTCATGACTGTGGCTTGACATAGGATGCCTGATGTAATTTCACAGGGGAAGCATTGCCCAACCAGGACAGAAGTGTGCTGGCTTCATTGGTGCCAACATAACATGGGGACCTTCCCATATTGACAAGGAAGTGTTCTACAATGCTTCAATGCCAGTTGAGGATGGGGCCTTCGTCAGAAGTTGAGGGACATTGTGTTATGGGCTGTATGCCCATCTGTTCTTCAACTGGCTGGCAAGCATCCTAGGATGGGTTGTTGTAGGTTTTTTGGGCTGTATTGCCATGTTCTAGAAGCATTCTCTCCTGACGTTTCACCTGCATCTATGGCAGGCATCCTCAGAGGTTGTGGTTTTCAGCAGGAGGGAATGCTTCTAGAACATGGCCATATAGCCCAAAAACTTACAACAACCCAGCGATTCCAGCCATGAAAGCCTTCGACAATACATCCTAGGTTGCTTACATTAGTAAATGTGATGAGGACCTCAGTAGAATACTGGCCTCTGCGTTTTGTAGATAAACTGAGAAGCCATGTTTTCACACTGAACTTTTCTAAATTTATTGTGCCTTTGACTTTTGTGACTTAACAATCAGTCTTTATTCTAAAACACTCTGTGGGAATATGCTTTCACATTATATAAAACAGTGCACATGTTTCATGTTTGTCAGAAGACAACTTTTCTAAATCACTGGGGTGGGATTGCAGCTGCAATAATTTTGAATTACAGGGATAGGCCCAAGTTGGGGGAGATTGCATTGAAACAGAAACTAATTTACTATCCTCTTTTGGAATTTCAATCAAAATATCTCTTTAAAACAATGCTGATAATCCTATACTTTTATTTGATGAAACACTCTTTTAAATTAAGCAAAGCAAAAGTTAAAACCTACCTTTCGGGAGTGGATTTCTTTCACATACAATGGAAGCAGAAATTCAGATATACCTTCAAGCCGAATTCCTTTTTTGGTGACTCTCAGATTCCCCATTCCATCCTAGAGGCAATAATAATAATATACAAATGTGTGTATATGAGGCGTACTTGGGAATCACTAAACACAATGCATTATTCACTTGCTTCAAACCTCACATTTAGAAGGTTAATGCTAAAAGCTATGTAAGTGCATAGGAAAGTGAAATTGTCTTTCTGATTATTTAAAACAAATGACATAAATGCATATTTGACAAGATTTTGGACAGACACATTGCCTGATGGCAACAAACTTAACCATTCAACACATGTCTCTTTGATGTATATCCTTCCATATTCTGGACTACCAAGTTAATACATTTTGTTCTCTGTTGTGCCTTAACCATATCTTAGAGCAACATGTATGGACCTTTGTTGATCTGGAAAGGTTAGGTTCCTAGATATTTGGGCATCTTTAGCCTGAAAATTGTAAGAGCATCAAAAATGAAGAGCAATTAAAGTACTTTTCGAATTCTACATTTATTTACTGAAATAAGTTTAGTTCAGTCTATACTAGATTATCTTGACTTAACCCATCTTAGTATAATGGTGGTAGGGGAGATTGCTTTACTGGCCTCCTGAGGATGAAACCAGGTTGTGCCAGGATAGGAGATGGGTGGGTTGGATTGCCTATTTAAGGTGGTTCTTCCTCTTTGACTCACCCTCCCATTGCATTTCATAATATAAGATTTCTGATTACTTTGGGGGAGGTAGGACACCCTCCCCCCCAAAAAAAAATTAAGGTGTTTTTTTTTACCTACCCTATACTGTCATGGAAGATTGAACAATTGGCTTATGATGGTGTCCTAAATAAGTGCTCATGAGTCTCATTTAAGGGAAGAAAACAGTGTGTGAATAATAATAATAATAATAATGGAAAAGAAATATGTTTTTATTATAGACATTGCAATACCAGGAAACAGTTAGAATAGAGGACAAAGAACTGGAAAAGATCATGAAATACAAGCACTTACAAACTGAAATTAGATGACTATGGCAACAGTGGTACCAATAGTGGTTGGTGCGCTTGGAGGCATTCCAAGAAACCTTGAAAAATACTGGAAAAGCCTTAATTTGGACAGAACATCAATACACATGCTGCAGAAAGAAGCACTGCTTGGAATTGCATACATTCTGCAAAAATTCCTTTAATATCCTAGAGCCTGATATTCAGAGACGAATCCCTGATACTTAGACCTAATATGCATGCGTGCTGTGTTGTTGTGTAGAAATAAATTATTTACTTTTGGTAGGTGTTGGAGTGAAATATGTGTTAGTGAACACTTTTCTGTCAGATTTGGTGAAGGATGGGAATTCTGAACTGCCCCTAAGTATCAAGCAAGCAGTGAGGAAAAAACTAGTTTTGACTCTTTCCTTGGGGCTGGTCTTCATGTTTTGGCCTCAGTAGAGTCCATGTGGCTTGAGGGTTTACACCTTTTGGTCAACCTTCCAGTTTACTAGCTGACCTAGAAGCAACTATGTTTTCCAGGGATTTCTCTTGGGTCACCAGAGCTTTTGTCCAATGGAGATTGTGGTGTGTGGTGAGACCTACCGCTTCAGATACTCTTATACCAAAATGCTTCCATCAGGCCCATAGCCAAGATTTTGATGGGGGGTGGGGGGGGGGGTGAGTCGAGGGCTACAGTGATAGATGCAGCGGTCTAACTCCCCGGCCTGTAGCAAACTCTTCTGTATTCTGTTACGCTCCTGGCAAAAAAAAAAAAAAAAAACAAAAAAACAAAACAACCTGTCTCTATAGCCCCCCATGCATACTGGGGTATTAGTGATTGATTAGTTGTAGGGTGATATGATATATTGAGATAGGACGACTATGTACAGTTTATAATAATGCACAGTGCCAAGTAAGGCGGCTGTTTCACACGAACGCACGCATGAGAATTCTGCGGGGGGGCTGGCTGGGGGCTATCACCCTACTCAATATATCCCATATGCATGCCAGCTACATGCCTGGCTTCCATGATTAGTTTTGCTTATCACAAAAAAAAATCCAATTACATATTTAACAAAGTTGCCTTTATTTTATCCTGTTGCTTTTTCTGGTCTCATTATCCCTTTGATCAGTCAGCAATTCAGGGTGTGGAACAAAGAATAAAAAAGCAATCTAAAGCAAATAAAAATGAGCCAGCAATTAAAATAAATTTCAACACCCAGTATACTAAAATGAAGCAATGATCCAATTAGGGCCAAAAATATCTGAATAAATATCCAGATTTCAACTTGGCTTCAAAATGAAGCCAACACCATCTGAAGCATATTTTCACACCTGTTTAAATGTTATGGTGAAGATTTCTTTTGGCAACCTATGATGGACCAAATGCCTGCAAACTAAAGACCTAAAATAGGTTTACATATTCTGGCAAAAAAGTGCCATGTGTTTCTACAGGAGAGTAGCACATTAAAACAAACTAGCAGAGAATAAACCATGGGTGCTAACACACCACCTGTTGTCTTTATCTATAGGATTACTGGTATAAATAATGTCCTTTAATTTGGGTATTTTTCTTGGTGAAGACTCCTTTGGTTTTTAGGATGAAAATTGTGCCATTAATGTTTTGTCTTCTTCCAAATGAATAACAGAAATTGTGCTTCCTTGGTTTTTTTTCTAAAGTTTTGTGTTGGAAACACAATTTTCTATCTTTATTTTCTTACTGGAAAAGTGGAAGCACCATTTTAAACACAAATTATATTGGTTGCACATTTAGAAAAAAAATTAAAGACAGCAAACTATTATAACAAATGTACTACCTCAAGTGGGCATGCATTTTAAGTTTCTAGATGCTTGGGTGCTATGAATACCTTTGCCCTTAAGCCCACAAACTCACTTATGCAGACATAGGGCAATTTATTACTATATATTGGAGGTAGAGGATATTACACATGTACTGTTTAATTGTATTTTGTACACCAAAGAGAGAAATCAATACCTCGGACCACTCATCATACAGAAGACTCACTGGGATCCCCATATCAAAACTACATTCTTAAATGGCTGGCCAGAATGCTAAGATAACACACCAAACAGCCCTTTTCCTTTATAAAGCAACACAGCTGAGAACTGTGTATCTGGAGGTGATTGGGGTAAACTGTAGGGGTGACGCAGATATCTGAAGTGGCTTGGGATTGTGTAATAGCTGGTCTATTTTAACCTTCATTTTAACCTTCGTTTTTAATTTTTGTGGTATGAAATTTTATCTTGACATTTTAATGATGATATTTTTAGTTATCTTTTAACCTAATCAGGTTTGAATGTGTGTTGGTTCTCTGTTGGGGGGGTCTTGGGATGGTGATTGTTGTCTGTTTGTGCACGTTTCTGTTTTTAGTTTTTAATGTTGATGCGGTCAATAGACTATTCAATAAACTTTGCTTGTGATACTATATATTGGATTTATCAAGAGAAGTCATTCTCTTGAAGGAGAAATAAAGTAAGGTATAAATAAACATAATAATAATATATAATAATAATAACCAGGGGAGGGGAACAGACATAACTCAGTGCAATTCTATTGCTTGGATGAGGGGTAATTTATTTTACTTTTCATTTCCAAGATGGGACTGTTTGTCTTCCGAATTATAGGTACTGTGTGGAAGTCTTCTATGAAAGCTTCATGGTAGATACTGATAAGGACTCAAAATGAATTTAGGATTTTTTTTAAAGGAGCAAATGAAATCCTGTTTTTCATAGGACAAATGGAATGACTAGCCCTAAACCAACACTGTAATAGTTGAAGGATAGCATTTCCCCCCCCCAGTAAATCTACCTGAATCAATTAGTGGAATCACAGAAGCAATAGACTACTTAGTTGGAACTGAGCACTTCAGAATATAGGGCTGAATCTTTTTTTCACATCAAAATATTTAATGAAACATATAGTATTACCTCTCTGCACATATTAAATATCTGTCTATGTGTCCATTGACCTATCTAGCAATTTGATTTCTGTAGTATTGCAGCTGCATACACGTGCTTCATAACTGGGAAGGTCCCCTCTAAGAAAAAAATCAGCTATTCATGTGGGAATTGGTTATGTGAGGAAAATAATATTGTAGGCCACTAGCTATAGACAGGATGGAAGGGTAGCCTGTAAGAAGTTTAAGAATAATAAATACTCACTGAGGAATATACAAGTTGGTTCCCTGAATTTAAAAATCCCTTTCCTTCCATAATTTGTGAAGTATCAAGCACCGAGGGAGTTGGTTCACTCCCAGGCATATCAGCAAACAATTGAATGACTGCTATTGGGTTTCTGACTAGTCTTAATTCCATAATGCTACGGTTTCTTCTAAAATCAATACTGCAAAATTATTTGATGCTGATGCTATGTAACTAGAATGATTGCTTTTGTGTTTTTATAATTGTAGTACCCTTGAAATGAAATTATTCTTTACCTTTTCCCATAATTGACAGGAGTCAAAAGACAATGCTGCAAGGTTGCTCTTATAGCAGGAGAATTCATTAGAAAGAGATGAGTTTTAGAAAAAGTATTTTGGTTTTCCTGAAGTTTATTTTCTTTTTAAAGAAAACATTCAATAAAGTGAGAATAACAACATGGGGATCACATTGTTTCCTGAAGTTTTAAGTAATAGGGGTTTAATAAGAGTAAATATTGGCTTATTAAAACATTAATTCAATAAAATCCTCTGCTATACAACTATGGCTACTTTCATCCATATGATGAATCCTTTCCCCCGAATAAAGTTCCAAAATGCGATGGTGAGACCAGTATCTTTCAAGTTGTTTAGTGCTGGAGGTGGGTGGGGATGGTGTACGAGGGTTGAATGAAAAGTAATGCCTCCACCTTCATAACTCCTCAACAGATGGCAGTATTGGTATGTGAGCTTAAAGCATGTGTCCTCCAGCAAAGGATCACCGCCTTGTCGGGGCGCTGGAGCTTGAGCACCTCAATGATGTCATGAGCGAAACCGTGAAGGGACACCCAAGACGGGACGGTTGTGGAAGAGAGGTCAGACCAAGCGTGATCCCTGGGGAAGGCAATGGCAAACCAC